TCAACATCCACAGCACAAACCAAAAACCAAACAGAGCTCATTTGACCTAGAGTGCTTTTAAGGTATTCAGAGACTTTAGTGCATTCTTCTTAGAACTAAGCTCAGAAACTATATTTAATTTTTCATTTTATTAGAAAACTAAACTGTATGATGCAAAGAAACATTTAATCAAACACGCAACAGTGAAAACATGGCACTGACAAGGCAATTAGCCCAACCATTGTATCAAACTCTGCTTCAGGATTCTCTCTTGCTTACAGTCAAGTATACATCATCTCTGCCATGTGAGACATTTTCTTGGGAATATATAAGTAGTATTCCATGTATCCCGAAAGATCTTCAATAGTCACATCATCCACAAAGGCTCGAGCTTGCTCAGAACAAGACCTGTGAGAGCTTGCTGAGGCTGTCCCAGAGGGAGATCTGTTCTGGAGGCAGTGGGTGTGGACTCCCAGGACGGCCCTCTCGCACTCGGACAGGACGCTGCGCAGGCCGGAGAAGGAGTACACCTCCATGCTGCGCCACTGCTGGCACTGGCACTTCCTGTCCGTGCAAGGGCACTGCCTGCCGTCGCTAAGCATGGATAAGGACTGGAAATCTGAGGTTTGCAAGCTGTTCTCAAAGGATGAGGGGAGAGCAGGGCAATTCTCCCCCAGCTGCTGCAAAGGCTCTTCGGCGGTGAAAGCTTCCAACGGTTCAGTTCTGTCGTTACTGGCCTCAAGGTGAGAATCCTGCCCGTCCTTCGTACCATGTTCTGCTGGGACAAAAACATCTGAGCTGATGACACCCTTCGAAGTGTCTGCCTGGGGTTTGTGTTTCAGCTGGCTGTTGGCTTTCAGGTTGCAGTAGGTGAACTTGGGAGGGTGCAGGACCGGAGACTTGGAGCGCCGGCGCCGCGGGACCCTTGCCGATCCTCGGGAAGGCTTTCTCACACACCTGCAGGGTTCAACAGGTGAGCACGTGGGTAACTCCAGAACCTACACTACAGCTCAGTAAGCTCTAAAATGTGATCAAAAACATTTTACAAGATTATTTTTCTGGTTGGAAATACCAGATGACTGGACACTTACAATCTGTGACACAAACCGTGGAGGACCCTGAAGAAATTCAGGTTCCCCAAAGGAAAGATACATACAAGGAACCCTTATTCAAGGTGCTTCCCCCCCAAGTCTTCTGCCTTAAGCAAATGATACTCTGTCATCCCAAACTGAACTGTAGTGCAGAACCTGGCTCAGTTGGAGCTGCTGGCAGAGTCACACTGAATATCCAGGTACTTCAAAGGCAATAAAAGAACCCAAGAGTGAGGTGAGAGGGGGTTGCAAAGGTTTAAGACTTGCAGAAAAGTAGTATTGATGATATCAACAGAAAAGAAAGTTTTGGGAACCCTCTCTAGAGAAGATGCAATATTGTTTTTAAAGACTTTGATGAAATCAAAGAACAATATATCAGTTATGGAAACATTTTGTGACAGAAAGCAAAGATATCTTGAAGCAACTAATTAACAACAACCAGCACTGAAAGCAGCCTGCAACTGTTCAATGTGTCATGTTTTACCCATGCCATGCTTCCTTGGAGCTGACAGGCTGCTGCTTGGCTCCATCCATGGCTGCTCTTGTCGTTGTTCTGAGGATCGTCCCGTCGCCCACGGACAGAGCTGCAATACATCTGGGTAAAAAGGGAAATGCCACATCACAGAAATGCCTGAACACACGGCTCCACGGGCCCACGTTCAGCCTCTGTGCTTTGCATGCTCAGCCAAGCCCATCACATTTGCTGCATTGACTCCCTCTGTAGTCAGTGGGCAGAAACAGAGCCTTAGAGAGATTTATAGAACCCCTCTTACTGTACTGGTCAAGTGGCTAAAGATAGGTGAGATGAAATGAAATGAAAGGCAGCCAAAATGCCCAGAGGTTGATGTCATGCCCTATTTGTATTAAAATGACACATTAAAGGAATGTAAACTCAGGTTCCAAGCGTTCTTGTCAGACAATAGTCATTAAAGACAGTCTGCTACTCCTCTGAAATGCAGAGCCAGGCACCTGGAGCAGCAGGCTGAGGGGGAGTTGGTGGAGAAGTGGAGGAGGTACAACAGGCAAGGACAGATTACTGATTTATTTAGTTCTCATTAAATTTTTGAGATAAGCATGGAATGAAAAAGCAGCTGACCCTGGAGGTCTACATGACAAACATAAATGCCCCAGCACATGAATCTGTATTTACAGTTATGATGGCTGCAGGTGTGATTTGGAACATGAGAAATTGTAAGAAATGAGGCTGGAATTCTAGGAAAAAGCCCAAATACTCTGCCCAAAGTTGATCTTAACAAATTAGTCACAAGATTTGAGCTGTTCACAACACATGTCTGCAAAACAAGATCTTTTTATGCCTAAGATGTCATCAGGAATCAACCAGAAGCCCACACAGTCTGCCAGTGGTACTACATCGAAAGTGTTATGATTAATAACCACAGTTCCTTGATAGAGAACAGCTATTTTTTTCCACATTGCTCAGAAGTCATCTTGAAGCAGAGGGAACGAGTAGCAAAGCAAAATATATTTCCACATGCAGAGGAAGTCCTGAATTCACAGTGTTGATGGCTGTGGGGATGAATTCACAAGGTAACACTGTCAGCACAAAACTTCCTCTTGTGTTTGTAAATTCCCAAAAGACTTCAAGTGAACTGTCTCAGAGAACTGTCAAGAGAACTGTCTCAGACTGCATCATTTTATCAGCTTTTACACTGCATATTATCAGCATAGCCAGTATCTTACTGAGTAAGTTTTTGTTGTAAGAATGTTTGCAGACTCCACAAAATCCCCTGAACACAGAAATGCTCAGAGCTCACATTTAGCCAACCCTTCCCAGTGAGGCTGGGCTCCCCAGCCTGCTCTGAGGTGTTGGTGCTGCTGTCCAGACACTTTCCAAGCAAAATTTTGTGCACTAAATAAAAGCCTATAATGTGGCTGCACACACCAGTGTTTACAGGGACAGACAAACAAATTCTGTGTCACACCAGGTGACTACAGCCACGACAGTTAAAAGTGGGTTCACTGCTTTAGGTGAGTCTTTTCATGATTCCATGCAGTCATTGTGTGATTTCAGTTGGATATTAGTCAAAATTACTCTGTAATAAAGAACTGCTTTACATATAGACAGTTATAATGACTGTATTTCATCTGAAGTGACGCAGTCAGAGAGAGCAAAGAACCTTTCAACAAATTACTTTTTCTTTTTGAAATGTAAAATAATAGAAAAAATACAAATATGTAATAAAACCCTTACAAATTACATTGCCTTTTTTGTTGTTCACTTACCCTGCTGCATCCACTCTCAGCTTTTTGAATGCTGTTTGTAGACTCTCCTCCTCTTCATCTTTAGCTTCCAAGTCCATTGATGTGCTCTCAGTGGATAACCAACCGTGCCATACAGAATAAACTGAAACACAGACATGGGGATTTGATACTGAGCTCTGAACAAGATGCTCTGTACAAAACTGACACCGTGATGGGTGCTCATTCTTCTGTGGGCAGTGTCACTGCTTCTGACCAAACCCACCCTGGGCTTTTCCCTGTGAACTCCAAAGTCTGAGTTTTTCGGAACAAGCACAGCCTGTGTTAAAAATATCAACATGTCTTTTTATCAATGGGTGAATACAGATCCTGGCAACCTGTGTAAATTTAAGCTGTGAGCATGGCACCTGCAGCAAAGCTTCGGGAAGGTTTCAGGATGGTTTAGGTTGGCAGGGATCCCTGCTCTATTGCTAAGGCCACCCCACACTGGTTTCCCAGGACCATGTCCAGTAGCCTTTGAATAACCCCAAGGAGGAAGACTCCAGAGCCTCCCTGGAGAGCGCGTGCTCAGGCACCCCCAGAGAAAAGCGTTTCCTTTCGCCCAGAGAGGTTTCAGTGCGTGCCCGTGGCCCCCGCTCCGCTCTCCGGGCACAGCCCGGCTCTGCGCTCCGCGCCCACCCTTCAGGCGTTCCCCACCCCGCCGAGCTCCCTCCCGAGCCCTCCTCACGGCAGCAGCGCGGGGCCGGCGGGGCACTGCCCGCTGAGCCGCTCCGCTGGCCCGGCCGGGGCACGGCACCGGCGCCAGGCCCGAGCGCGCGGCCCGCGCAGCGCGGTGAGTGCCGAGAGTGAGCGCCCTCAGTGAGCGCCGCTCCCCTCCCTGCGCATCCCCTCCTCATCCCTCCGCGTCCTCACCCCGGTCCCCTGCGCGGCTCTCCCTTGCTGCCCCCGGGGCCGGGGAGCGCCGTGGTGTCGGCGCGGCCGCCCCTCCCCGCGCGGTTCCCGCCGCCGGTCCCCTCGTGAGGGCGGAGGGCGCGGGGCGGTGCTGAGTCACGGTAGGGGTAGCGGGAAGGGCCGGGGAGGGAGCTCCGAGCGGTTCAAAATACAGAATGAAAAAACACAAAATAAAATTAAACACACACGAGTTCCTGTCCCGCGGCCCGTGTGCTGCCCTGGGTTGTGGCCGTCCCTCACGGGCCCGCCGTTGGCCCGCGGGGATGGCCGTGCCCGAGCCCTGTGCCTGTGCTCGGCCGGGCTTGTGCTGCGGCGGGGCTGGGAAACAGCCGAAAATGAAATGGAAAGGGAAAGGTGTGTGTTTGTCTGGCAGGTAAAAAATGTAAGTTTCAGTGTGTTTTTTAACACGGTAAGTTTTAGCTGGTTTTCACAGTAATTCTTTTTTTTTTTTTTCACGTATGCTCTCGTTGGCCCCCGCATTTAAATGCTTAAGCTTGTACTTTGTTATCAGCCAGAGAGACTTCTGTCTAAATTCTGCGTTGTTTTGAGGATTTGCAGTGTTGGTGGTGAAGGGCAGCAAAATAAAATAGTTAGTCTAAAAACTGGTACTGTATTTTGAGTAATGTACTGTGATTTTAAAACTTTTTATTTTCATCTTCCTGCTAAGGCTTTGTAATACAGGAGTTTGCTGTTAAAAAAAACCCAAACTTATATAGCCTCATTTTCTATTTCCCTTTCAAAGAATCATCTGAGGATGACTTGGGGGCCAAGCAATAAAAGTGAAGACCATCTGTTTCACTATAGCAGTTATACTTGGCTAAGAGAAAATATGAAATAGTAACTTGCTCAGATGAGCATCATGTTGTCAGTGTTTAAGCTGCTTCCTCTCGTGTTTACTCCCTGTGTGACTCATTGGACACCACGTGCCTTGAAATTGTTATGCTCCATTATCCTTCTGCGTGTGTCACAATAGCTGTGTGCAGTCCTGGTGGAGCCACAGCACCGTGAGCAGCCAGAGCAGCACTGGGGAGGAGAGCTGCCACCTCCAGCTGCAGTGAGAGGGTGAGGGAACAGAGATTGCCCCAGCCCTCTGCAGGGCTTCAGACAAAAAAGGTCTCAGTGAAGAGGGAGTTCTTTTCCTTGCTACAAAAAAAACCCTTGTGCAGGGCTTTGCATTTCCCTTTGCTGAAGTCCATGAGGTTCCTGTTGAGGTCCCACTGGTGTTTCAGCCATTCATCCCAGTTTGGTGGCATCAGCAGACGTGTGAGGGTACCCTGCCACATCATCCAGGTCATTAATGACATCATCCAGGTCATTAATGAGGATGTTAAACAGGACTGGACAGTTCTGTTCCTGGGGTACACCACTGGGGCCCGACCTCCAGCAAACCCAAAGAGCATCACAGTTAGAAAGGCTTGAGGTCCTTTGTAGCTAGATTAAATGATGGCCAGGGCAGGTTAAAAAAAAAAATCAGCCTTTTTTTTAATTTAAAGGAAGGCTTTCAAATTGCTTTTTGTATTTGTTTGCATTTGTATTTGTTCACAAGCTGATACTGGTAATTTCAACAACTATTTGTAATCATAATACCATGTTCTGATAGGACTGTGTAGCTGTTGCTGGGACCTAGACATAAGGCTAAAAAGTTTTGTTTGGCTTAGAACTTTATCTTGCTTTAAGAAAAATCTCTTGGTTTGAGTTTTTTTTAAGTGTATGTGTAACACTGAGTCCCAGATTTGGAAAGAAGAGTTGTAGAAGGTTGACTGTTTCTAATAGTGTTGTTCTATCCCACTTTCACCTCTTCCACAATTATTCTGGTAGCACTGTAACACAAGTGGAATAGTCTGGCTGGGCTCTAATGTATGTGCAAGATGCTGTTGACACTAAATTTGCCTTTGAATTGTTAATTCACCTACAGTTGTACAGGAGACTGTTCATTTCATTCTTGGGTATCATAAAGCTTGTTCTGAGTCAGCTTTCAGAAATGTTCTACTAGAATGACCTCAGCTTTGTGTGCTCAGCGTGCTATTTTGAGTTTATTTTCACATATTATGGTGCTGCTGGGCAACTAATGTTTTTAACAAGGATTTGGCCCTTATTTTCATGTGTCTTTTTTCTGATTGCAGCAGTACATGGTAATTCTATCACCTCCTGGCCATCCCAATGATGAAATCAGAAGCTAAGGATGGAGAAGAGGAAAGCCTGCAGACAGCATTCAAAAAGCTGAGAGTTGACACAGCTGGGTGAGTAACAACACAGGAAGGGACAGACATAACATCTTACAAATGGACTCAAAGGGAACACCCTTGCTGTGAAATTTGAGGGAATGAGGTAATTTCAAAAGGTTAGGCACAGAAAGCTTTCATTGTAGTTAAACAGACTGAAATAAATAAATTCACTACCTGCAGACTGCACTTCTTAAGGAATTGAAAATTGTGTGATTGCTGTCAGCTTGCAGCAGGTTTGAAAGAAAACTCACAGTTGTGATCAGCTGACAGTGTGTTTGAAATGAATTTTGGCATGAATCTGGCTGCCAGAGGTTACCAGTACTGGAGTCCATAGGACTAGAACTCTGCTGTTGAAATTAGCATTTGCCGTGGTTCTGAAGGCCTGTCATGAGAATAAAATCACATCTTGTCCCAGGAGAGAAACTTTCTTTCCATGTCAGTGAGGGAGAGCGTTAGATTCAGTGCATGATTCCCAGACAAACTATTTTCATTGCTGTCACAAAATTTCTATTAATAACCAGAATCACTAAATGGGAAAGAATGCTTTTTGTGTTGTCTTGGTTTGTGGAGATGTGTCACATGGCACTTACCTTCACTGTCCCAGGTGGCAGAACACAAGCACCACGTGTCTTCTGTTGGTAATGATAATTTTTACCTGAAATTAAATAAAGGCAGGCTTCCATATAATGTTTTTTTCTGCTGACAAATGTGCACCATTGCATATTACCTGTGGAATCTGGGATCCCATAAGCTGTTGTCAGTGATGCAATTACACTGTCACTGAAATGAAAGGGCAGGCAAGGCAGCATCAGAGTGGTAACTGCAATTACCACAGAGCTGAGATTGTTAATAGATGGGCTCCTAAAGTTATCTTTTGTTTAAGTAATGAAACTCATTAGTAATGAATTACCTCTCATTTCTTCAGTATCTCTAGTACCATCCTCCAGCTGGGCATATTTGAATACTTTGGAGTTTTTACTGGTGCCTTTTGATCTTGTGTTCTGTATTCATTGTCCTTTAAATGGAAATTAGTTTGATTAATAGTTTGGATTCTCTTAACCCCATCCTAGATCAGTGTGTGGGACTCATTTTCACTTTTCAGGGAATCTGTCCTGTTTATAAAATTATTTAGCATAGGATTTGGAAAATAATTTTCTTGTGACTTCCAGTGTAATATGTGAAGTCACAACTTGAAAGAATTGTTCTCGGGTTGTTGAGAGTCCTTCAAAATGGGACTGTGGGATGAATTCATAGCACCAGAAAATGCAGTAAATCTACTAAGGCCCCCGCCTGGAATAGAAGCTGAGGGTCTGACACAACTCTGTGGCTCAAATGATTCAACTTGCAGGAGTATGAAGAGTTTTAGCTTATGTTGACAGGCTATGTTAGACAGAGGCTTAAGTGTTCTTCAGCTAAACAAAGTCTATTTATGTCCAAAGAACATTTATTTTTAGGAAAGAATGGCTTATTTGTCTCTGGAAAAAGAGACGTGTTTCTTCAGTGGTGGTGTTTCTGCCTTCCCCTCTCCTGGGAAGCTGAAATTTGGCCATTGTGTGTGTTTGTCACTGACACGTGGGGTGGCTCTGCAGCAGAGCTGTGAACGGCACCTCTCGGTCCAAGGGTCTGTTACACAAACCTTGGACACAGGAGCGTGTCAGCACTCATCCTTCTCATTTGGGTCTTTGTGGGCAGGCCTTTGAAGATGTATTCAAAATGATGTGGAGCAGTATTTTCTGTGAGAAAAGATGCACAAGGGTTTATTTTCATATTCATAATGCTAACCAGTGCAAGCTGTTAACTCTTCATTCTGTCTCTCACAGATGTACCACTTCTCTCTCTGTGGGTGATGGGACAAGTCCCAGAGCAGTCGTTAGAACAGTGGCAGATGAAACCAAACCTAAGAATGTGTGTGCTTCTAAGGAAACCTGGCATGGGTAAGAGAAGCTTGGGATTATTTGGGACTATTTCAAATGATACTGCATTGAAAAGGAATATTAAGTAGACAGTTTCTAGTTGGTGCCCCTCGAAACAAGAGACCTGAATTGTCTTTACCAGAGGACTTTATAAAAGACAGCAGCTTTTTCTCTTCATAAATGACTGCTGTTCTTTACAGTTATGTGAGGTGAAAGGGAATGCTGGTCACCTGTAGGTGGCTAAACATTGTAGATATTTCTCAACGCAAATGTGAGCTGCTGGTTTGGAATCAGACAATCATGAATGCATCTCTTTCAATCCTTGTTTGACACTGCAGAAGCTGTCATTGTGCCTTGGGAACTAGATTAAAATAAAGAATTGGTTTCTAGAGTATCTCTGCCGAACTTCATGCTCATCTGAAACAAAACCATCCTTTGCCCTTGATTCATTAGTTTTGTGCTCTTTTCTTGTAGCAATTGTTTTGTCATGTCTCACATGCTTTACTCATTTTCTGACCTTTAAAGCCCACTCTCTGAGATGCATTTCCGTGGTGTTCCTTTTATATTGTATACAACTGCTTGTCTAGAACTAAGTCACATTCCAAGAGAGCAGATACTGAGCAAATACTCCAAATCTAAAGCTTGTGCATGCAACATAACTGCAGGAGAGATTTTGCCCAGTTACTAACAACCCAGCAATAAGTATTTTGGTGACTCTGCATTCCCTTTGTGTCTTTCCCTGGCAGGTCTGTGAAGAAGCCCTCGAGAGGAGTTGTGAGAACGCAGCGTCGCAGGCGTTCCAAGTCTCCAATTCTTCATCCTCCAAAGTTTATCCACTGCAGCACAAAATCACACTCCACATGCAGCCAGCTGGTGCAGAAGAGCCAGGCTGATGCCCAGGAGGACAGCAGTGGCTTTGGGGTGCCAGTCCCAAAGGAAGCAGGTGCACATGAACACTGCAGCGTCACTCCGGACGTGGGCCACAAGGGAGCTGATGAGTCTTTGGGAGTTTCTGTGGCACAGTTGACATCAGAGAACACTCAGGAGAACTCTCCAGCTGCAGCTTCTCCAGCATCCAAAACAGGCCTAAAGACTACGGAGCTTTCTGACTTCCAGGCTGTGTGCAGGCTGAACTCGAGTGAGCCATGTGCGTGTGCAGATAAAGCCTGTCAGTGCAGACTGTGGCGAGATATGGAAGTGTACAAATTCTCTGGCTTGCAGAACACCCTCCCCCTGGCACCTGATAGAACGGTTTCTGAGGATCACTCCCAGCCTTTGCCATCAAGAACTCCCTCAAGTTCTCCACGCTCTTGCTCTGAGCAAGCCAGGGCCTTTGTGGATGATGTGACAATTGAAGATCTTTCGGGATACATGGAGTATTACTTGTATATTCCAAAGAAAATGTCTCACATGGCAGAAATGATGTACACCTGACAGCAATGAGCACTAAAACCAGAAGGGTGGCTGGTTTAAATCTGCCCTCAGGCACATCATGTGAATATGCAACCCACTCCCTGCTCACTGTGCTTGCAATAAAAACACTTCTTTGCATCTCAGCTGATGTTGATTATTTAAGCTGGACAAACAGTTTAGTTTCAGCATTATAATTTAAGCTTGGAATAGATAATGTGGTAAATGAACCTAGAGCATACCTGCCTGTACTTAAGAGACCCAACACTTAATTATACTTTGTTTCCAAAATCCTCTTTTTGCTTTGTTGGAGAGGAGTTCCTAAATTGCTCAGTGATTAGAGCTCTTGTGAGACACCTGGTGTCATTCAGCTCCTTTGAAATCACTTTGACCTCAGGTTGAAGGACTCAGGCTTGTGGTTTTGGGTGCTTGTTCCTCTGATTTTATTTCATAAAGGAGTGTGAATATCTCCTACCCTCCCCTAGGTACTGTTGCTGTAAAAGTGGAAAGCAAACCTTTCACTGAATTTCCAACAGGCCTTAGAGACTTGTGTGCACGAGACACACCCTGCATTCTTCAGGGGAGCTGCTGCTGTGGTTAACCAAAGGAAAAGTGAGGGCAAGAGCTCTGCTCACTGTATTTGTTATGGTGACCAAACCAGAATTTGCTCAGTTCAGTGGTCTTAATTCATACACTGTGGTTTTTTTTAGCTTCTATTTTAGCCTACTCTATAGGACCAAGTCCTGTAGAGCATTAAACCCATAGAATGGAGTGAACAGTTGTCATCTGTAGGGAAATCTTGAGCACTGTCTCCACTCCAGTTTGCTAAACCATCATCACTTTAGCTGCCCTGTCCAGCTTTGCATTCTCCTGGAATTTACTGCTTCAGAAGCCAGCAGCTCTCCATACATAGTGTGCATCAGCACAGTGTCTCTTTTATAAGTGTCCAGCAAAGGAGCATCCCATCAAATAATATAATTTGTGAGGGTGAGAAATTTGTGTTTGGTTTGTCTTTACTATTTGTGGTACCTCAGTTTTCTGAGGTGCAAGATGTGGAGACAAACATTTTCCTGCAAAATCATTTGGTGTTTCTCCTGGGGGTTTTTTGCAATTTCTGTGGCAGCACCTGGTGTCTCAGAACAAGTGACCATGTAAATTTACCTGTTTTGCCAGTTCTGAAGTGCCACCTGCACCATGCAGAATGTACCTGTGTCCCACATCTCCTTCTGTGCTCTGCAATAGCTGCATTTCTGCCACCTGTGTTCTGAATTCAAGGCAATTTTTTGGTAACTATTGTCTACAAAACTGGGCTACAAAGTGCAGAATGACTTTATTTCTCAAATAATTATTCTTAACTGTTCTCAAATGCAAATTCCAGCCACAGCACTGTGGTGGGGCTGAAAGTGCCTTTCAAGACTGCACTGCTTTTAGCACTTCATTCATTAGTGACCACAGACCTGTGCTGCAGGGTTTAGGATTGCACTGTCCACTGCTCAGTACTGTGTTAAAGAGGATTGAAATCCAGGAGATGTAAAAATAGAAAAATGTGAGCTGGTGCTGACTGAGAAGGGATGAGCAGTGCCACTAGAGGTCAGCCCCAGGCTGGGGCTGGCTGCTGCAGCAGGCTCAGTCTTCAGGGAAAATGGGAATTTTTTCTGCCAAAATGAAGAAATAAGAGCAGCTCTTATTTTGTTGGTGCTTCTTATTTCTGTGTGGTGCCTTTGTGCACACAGACTGTCAGTGCTTTCTGAAGATTGTGTGGGTTTGTTGGTGGTCAACAAAAGCTCTTTAAATGCCAAAATCTGCATAAGTTATTAATGTTTTAACAAAGTGTGTAATCAGTTCACAACTGTGCTGTGTAATTAGGAAAAGTTGCTAAGTAAATAATTACATAGTCCTGAACTTGGCATCCTCTTGGGACAGTTACGACATCTTTGGGCTTGTAAGTGCTGGAACACCGTGGAACAGAAGACCATGAGTTGCTCTAACCGCTGCCTTAACGCTTTCTCTTCTGTTACCACAAGTTCTTTTCAAATGTTTTGGTCTTCACAGAAACCATAAAGCAAAACCTTCTAGTTTTGCTTTGAGAAAATGTGAATTTATGGCCCTTAATCATGCAGCAAGAACCTTGAAAACTTGCCTAAGTAGTGTAAAAACTTAGTTTAAAACAACAAAACAATTTAACTTGAGCCAATTTCAAAATCAGACTTTTTTTTTAAAGAAGCGTTTAGAGGGCTGGTTCTGCCAAGTGGCATTTCTGAGTCATGTTGGAGTCCGTTACCAAAGAGCTCATTCCTTCCTGTGGCTGAATAAAAGTGAAGCCCTTTGTAATTAACTTTCTAACTTGTCCTTCTCACCTGTGCCTGCAGGTGTTCTGTGTTTGTGTGCTATCCGTACACAGAGCTTCTCTTGCAGTTATACATTGTGTGCTTCCTCTGTGCCTTTTCTTCCTAGAAATGCTAGGGTGGAGGTTGAAAGTTGAAAAACTGAGTCCAAACCCACCACTGTCTGTGGCAGCTTTGCCCCAGAGTTCGGTGGGGTTTTGGGATCTCCTCTGGAAGGGTTGATATCATCCCACAGCTCCTGCAGCTTCTCAGCCTGGGGTCAGTAAGGGAGGGTCATTAGGAGGGTCATTTTTCCGAGCAGTGTCTCCTTGGGAGTGGGGTGGGTGTGCTGGAAGAGGAGAGGCCCTGGATTAGCCTCTTAGCTGGTCTTTCAGCCCGTGTCCTCTGCCATCTGTATTTGATGACATTATTACACACGAGGTGTCCTGTCGCTACTCCGTGTGTCTGCAGCTCTCTACCATCTTTTCCACACACAGACCGAGTTATGCTGCAGGCTGTTAAACCGAAGGAAATTTGGAAGTTTGTTGTTTGGGAGAGAGGGGTAAATGACTACAACTGAACTTCTTTCATTGCCTGAAGCAGCTCTGGAGGGTCCCTTTGGGAAGCAGCAGAGGGGCTGAGTGCGCTGTTCGCTCACTCGGGTGAGGGCTGTGCTCTCACTGCCCGCTCTACCTCTGCCCGGTTACACACGGTGGGAGTGACCTGGCCCCGCATCCGCGGGGCTCGGCGGAGCGGGACAGCGCTGCCGGCCCGGGGGAGTGGCGGCCCCTTCCCAGGCTCTATTTTAAGCAGACATTTACTTTCCCAGCCTCTTCTCCGCCTGGATCCCTGCCCGGGGCGGGGGACGGCGGGGGGGTGGGATGTGTCTCTCCCCTCCTTCATAAAAGGGCCCCGAGGCGGGGGCCGGGCTCCAGGGGGGTTATTTTTGGGAGCAGCTCCTGGGATCCGATGGCCTTGTTAGGGCAGCGCTGACCTTTCTCCCGGCGGGGGAGGAGAGCGGGACGGGGCGGGCGGCGGCCGGGCGGAGGAGAGCAGCCGGCTCGGGACCCCCATCCCTTCTCCGCCGCGGGGATCGGGACCCCCATCCCTCGCTCTGCTCGGGGATCGGGACCCCCATCCCTTCTCCGCGGCGGGGCGGCTCCCCGGGCGGCCCATGCCCGTGCCCGCGGGGCAGGTACCGGCGCGGAGCGGCTGCCCCTACGGGGGGGCTGGAGCTCGGCCCGCCCTTCTCCCCTCCCTCTCGTCCAATTTCTCCCTCCTGCCGTGCCCCAGCCCCTCGGCCGGGCCAGGCGAGGCAGGAGCGGCCGCTGTCGGCGCCCAGCCCGTTCCCTCCGGGGATGCGGGAGCCCCGGAGCGCTGCCCCTGGGAACGCTGCCCGGCTGAGGGGCACCGGAGGGCACCATGAGCGGCGGCAGGTTTGATTTCGATGATGGAGGCGCCTATTGCGGGGGCTGGGAGGGGGGCAAAGCCCACGGGCACGGCATCTGCACCGGCCCCAAGGGCCAGGGCGAGTACTCGGGCTCCTGGAACTACGGCTTCGAGGTGGTGGGCATATACACGTGGCCCAGTGGCAACACCTACGAAGGCTACTGGTCCCAAGGCAAGAGGCACGGGCTGGGAATCGAGACCAAAGGACGGTGGGTTTACAGAGGCGAGTGGACCCATGGCTTTAAGGGACGCTACGGCGCGAGGCAGAGCATGAGCAGCGGAGCCAAGTACGAGGGGACATGGAACAATGGCCTGCAGGATGGCTACGGCACCGAGACCTATGCTGATGGAGGTAAGGGTGGCTCCAGAGGGGATGGGAGGGGATGAACAGTGTCACACCCAGCCTGTGACAGCAGAGGTTGCATGTTGTCTCTGCCGAAGGGCTGACCCGGTGCTGCTCCTGCTAGACAGGCACAGTGTTCCACAGTGAGCCATTGGGGTGATTCAGTCAAGAAGGGGAGCTTGGCTGCAGCCATCTCATCCATGTGTGCGTGCCCCGATTTTCCCAGTTGGGCGCAGCACACCCGGCTCACTGTCAGTGGACACGAGGGAGGAGCAGCAGGAGCATTGCCCCAAGCTGCCCTTAAGTGTCTGTTTTGGCAGTTAACACCAACCAACTTGATTTTGTGTAGTCTTTGACTCCTGCTTCCACAGGGACTGGTTATTGCAGCTTCTGGCTGAACCAACCCAGAAATTCCCAGCTGGTGCACGCCGCAGCGAGCCGTGCGCTCGCTCACCAGGCAGCGAGCTGTGAACGCTCTCGTGTCGGATATAAACCACCCACAGCATCCCAGCACGCTTTCCCTCTGCATCAAACACTGCCTGCACATCTGCTTTGCCAAAGAGTTTTGATTGAGTCTGTCTAAGCTGTTTAGAATATGTGGCCACACATATTCCCCAAAATAAATCCCTTTGGTTATTTGGAAGGTTTCAACCTCCGCTACTATACAACAGCACCCTGTAGTCAGATATTTGTTGTGCTCTGCAAATGCTTGGTCTAATTGTGTTCTTGCATTAGTGGCAATTCTGGCGTTAGAAACATTGCAAGAATTTCTGTGCAAGTAATTTAGTAGCTCTTCAGCACTGTAATGTTCCGGGCTGCCACATTTAGGATAGCTAAATAGAGAGGGTGATTTGAAAGAAATACCCTTCAAAATATGGATCAAAATTGCATCTATATTTATCTGGGACAGGCATTGGTTTTCATTTATAAAGCAAAATTAATATAAATCCTCAGAATGAAAAGCATCTAATTTATAGACATTAGAAAAATGGAATCATTCAAGACTGGCTTTCAGGGCTATGTTTTTCAT